GTCCCAAACAACTGTTGTCTGAACAATTTTTCTGTACAACGCCAACCGTCGAAAATTTCGGGGTAGTTCCTTTAAAATGGGACACCCTGTATAGTAGAAAACAGGATTAATTTCATATTTATTCCACAACATGTTCAGACAGTGTTTCTCTAAGTCTTCCATTACAATATCAGCCAATAAAGGAGAGATGGGGGAGCCTATCCAGCTTCCAAATATTTGTTTATAATAAATTTTGTTGAACACAAAATATGTGTTATTAAATAAAAATTGTATACCTCTCCGAATCTTTTCCATTTATTATCTCTTATAATTGTAATCATATTCAATGTACATGTATATAATACAAATATATATAATAATACATACATTCATATACAAATACAGCTTAATTCTAATGAGACAAGAGAAAAGTTTCTTCTACATTAATCTGTAAATGTTAATTGTGCCTTTTTCATTTACGCGATACTGAAGTATCTTCTACGTTGCTATCGTACACGTCAATATATTTTGGGTCTGAGTCATCTAATTCAAAATTAAAAGATAGTTCCTATTTGTTCATTTTCTATTTGTTGTTCTGTGAAAAAAATTTTTGTATAGGCTACATTTAATTGATTTTCTAGAATTTCTGTGTCGTCGCTTTGTACAGTCATATCTATCAAATTAATTGTTTGTCCATTGGAACAATTTTTTCCTTCGCAAAACGTACACAACGGGATACACAGCACATCTTGTTTTCGACAACCGCAACAACCTGTGCAACCCTTTTTACATGAACAGGATTTTGTTTTACGTATACAATCTGGTAGTAAAGGTTTTATCGTTATAATGGAAATTAATCCACATTCTGTTTTCTTGCAGTTCTATTCTTTGGCACTAAATTCAACATTATCCTATAATTTAATTTGATAGTAAATTCCTAGGCAATGCTGTACGGCAGCATATTCTGAGGATGGTAAAGAATGCATTTGGAAATTCGAGTTTTTCTTTTTTGCTTACATATTTTAAATCGAATTTCTCTGCTGCAATGTTTTGTTCTGTGTGTACTGCTGTTTGTTTTGGTGTTGCTGTTTCATTCTGGCCGTTATGTTTAGCTATTACCTGTGCGTATGTTGTTCGGTCTAACTCTATTGTCATTGGGATTTGAATTTGCATTTGTGATTACATGTGTTTGTATGCTATTTTGAAATGTTTTTTCACGCAACTTGGGAAATAATTTTTGCTGTAATTGCTTACGTACCGGGCAACCTTTATAATTTGCTGTATGATTTCCTTTGCAGTTTGCACATATTACATCTTTGATTTTTTGTTTGATTGGACACTCCTTGGTTTGATGATATTCAGCACATTCAACACACACTGCACTTTTGAAACAGTAATTTTTCGTATGTCCGTACTCTTAGCAGTTGTGACACTGAGAAATTCCTCTTTTTATGATTGGTGGTTCGAATTTGATTACTGTATGAAGAAGTTTGGTTACTTTGTAAATGTCCTGTAAACTTTTATAATCATGTTCAATTTCAACTGTGAAAAGCGGTAGTGGTGCTTTTGTGATGCGATGCCTTATGTTATGAATACTTAGTACTTTATGTCCGTGATTTTTTATGACAACTTTTAATTCTTCAGTATCAACTGACGGATGCATGCTTCTTAGAATTACTTTGAAACCTTTTTCTTTCAGCGCATTTATTATCGGGGTATACTTTTCCGATGTTGTTAGTTGAATTTTAATTTTATCTTGCCATATTACTTTTAGTGTAAAATTATTTTTGGCTATTATGTTTAATAATTTTTCTAACGTTTGGATATCTTCTACGTTGTAAACAAAGATCGGAGGGGGGGATTCGTTTATCGTTTTGTTTGCTTCGTTACTTCCTGATTTTTCATTTTCACTATGATTGTTTTCTTTATCATCTTGTAGTATTTCGAATCTATTTCTTATATTACTTAGCCAGTAGTCTAATTTTACTTGTTTGATAGTTTGAATAATTTGTGTTTCATTGCCTGGACTGCTTCGATTGCTTGGACTTCTTTTATTAGAAGCAATTTTCCATTCTCCAGGTTTATTTTTATTGTTGCATGACTTACTTTAGTGGCCATTTCGACCGTCTTGTTTTGTGGTTCTGTTTAAACGTATTTCACCTTTAAGTGTCAGTTCACTTGATATGCTATTACTATAACTATGACTTTTCCGGTAGAGCGCAGTTTTAACACGTCTACTCACCTCAAGGTTCAAACGTTAACTGAAAAGCTCCTAATCTAAGAAAAACTTTAACATCAGTAAATTGATCCGAAAGCACTCCAAAACTTCTCTATTCTGCCAGTGTAAGGGTTGATTGAATGTTATAAAACAATATGTTTGTTTTAAATTTCTAGCTCTGTTTGCAGCATCAGTAATGGCAATAAATATCGTATCGTAATCAGTTGCAGGTGTGTTTATAAATGGCATAAATATGATCTTTGATTTTGACATGATTGTTCTTCTGATAATATCTCCATAAAACTATTCCACCCTCTTATTTTTTGTTGAATTTGCAAATTTCCCATACAACAACTAGTTATAGAACAATAGAACATACTGGTGTTATAATTTGAATATCCTCCATTACGTAAAAAGTTCTAAGACCATTCAACTTATTAATATTATGATCGTCATTGTCATAGACCCATCCAAAAGTATTTGTAATATATTCATTATTATTATTATTCATTATTCAAGTTAAATTAATGTTAGATCTCATAATTCGAAATTAGAAAAAATTAGAAAAACGCATTTATTGTATTTGATCTACATATCATTTGAAAATCTTGAAAGTCTTCCAAATTCACTGAGGCTTGTCTCGGTAGATTCAGTTTTTACTTAGATATAAGACTTTGAAGTTTAAAAAAATTTTTTTTTTTGTAGGCAAGAGCTTTGACCGACATTGTACATGCACATGTTTATTTTTTGAGAGAGAGAGAGAGAGAATGATGGGCATTCGAAAGAACACACTGTATGTATAAGAAGATTCCGAATTGTTTTTCTGGATATACGGCTTGTGAGTACCGATCAATGGCGAGTGAATGATATCTCCATATTAGCTTTAACGGAATCATCATACCGTTTTAGATTTGCGAGCGTGATTCCCATCGTGCTCATGAACAATGATTGTGAGTGAGCTTCCGTTTATTATCTGCATATGCGCGAGATCCTGCAATCTTGCAGCGAGCCTTTCTTACACGTTAATTTGTAAATACCGAGGTCATAGTCGTATATTCACTCTTTCTCTCATTCTATGTTGCCTTTCTCTCTCTCTCTCTCTCTCTCTCTCTCTTTCTCTCTCTTCATCTATCTATTTTTCACTGTTATACGATTACTATGTTCTATTGATTACCAAATTTGCGTTACTGATCTAATTATTTCTCTAAATGTTATTATTATTATCGTATTATTTAAAATATGTTTAAACAAACTGTATATCTTATAGCCTACGGAGTTATACCCCACGGCTAAATGAAGCTCACTTTAATTTTTCTCGCTCTCTCTCTTTGTTCTGTCGTATTTCATCTCGTTTATATAGCCCCACAAAAAAGAATTTACTATTCATGGAATCAGACTACCATATCTATATGTACTTGAAATCGCAGAATCCGAATTCAGGGTTCGTTTTTCTATATCAGGTTAAGACTAAGTCATTTCAAGCTCAAATCAAGATTATTTCATGAATATGGTCGAAGAGTTTCATGTTATTATAAGCCTATAGTAGAATGTTTAGATCCAAAATTTTTTAAACGGCTATATCTCCGTTGAAAAAGTTATAAAATTAATTTTAAATAGTGCTTTTTGTAGCCCAAGAATTTCTTTTTTAGGAACTGTGGTTAGAATTGCGCAGAAAAAATCTTTCGACATGTTACAGGTGGTCAAATAAAGCAAAAAAACCTGTTTTGACGCTTCTAGGTTAAGATATCTGGAAAACCAAGGGTGACAGAGCAATTCTGAGCCCAGATTCGGAATCAGCGCATGAAAATCTATGAAATATACTATGTCTGGTTTCAGGTTCTTAAAATTGTTGACCTGTGTTGTGAGATCTAAAAAAGTCGAACATAACACAACTTCAAATAATTCAACTAAATAAACTTTAAAATCTTTATTAAAGTCAAACGTAGCAAATTCTTTGTGAACACCGCTGCAACAACAATTTTGATGCATTTTCATGAATGCGATGTTACTGATAGTAAAGAAGGTGAATATAAAGATGAAGATGAATATACTTCAAATGACGGAAATATGAATGTTCTAGATAACATCGCGTACACACGCGCGAGGCACATATCAGTCGAATAAACTTTGCCCTTATTCATAATCTTAAATTGACTTTGAAATGACCTTGCTCTGATTTAACGGAGAAAAACAGACTCAGTTTCAGCGATCTTAATTATGTATATAAATATGATGGTTTAGTTCTGTACACAGAAGAATTTTGTTATTGTGAGGCTACGTTATTTATCCGATTATTATGACTTGAACACCGAGCGATAATCAAGTCGTACAAGCGCTCGTACTAAATTAAGCTCTCCGACGCTATTTATGGATTCAGAGAGGAATACTTTCATTAGCGGAATTACTGTGTCATGCTATCTGCAACAAGCTAAATATCTCCGACTATTGGATCGACTATACCCGTCAATTTCACTAGGAGGAAGTCGACTCATTTTACGTGAACACAAAATGTCGCTGCTTTACCAAAATGCCCATAATAATATTTTTACGCTTGTAATTAAATAGGAGGAAACTCATTGAATACATTTTACGTACGAGTGTATATTTTACTTTGGCTTACTCTTTATTTACTACGTTCATGTTTTAAATTTTAATTAATTATAATACAATTTATTCTTTTTATATTTTATTTTCAAATCATATTTTATTATAGACTATTATAATGAAGTTATCTTATACATGAAATAGTATACTTTATGAATTTGTTTTATGTTCTGAATAAGTTTTGGTTGATTCTCTTTAGGGTCATGATGATGGAACCTGTAGTACATGGTGCAAAGAGAGTTCACCACTTTCTATAACTCTTCCTTACGAAGTGACCATGAATGGTCCATACAGTGACATTTTAGCACATAGAGTAATATCTCCTGGTGAAAATACTTCCATTAGCGATGATTTAAGAAAGGTTGGTAAAATATATAAAGACTAATTTATCTTTTATTATTAATATTTTTATTCAAAATAATAGCTTTAATGGATTATTAAATTGCTTATAAACTTGTATATAATAAAACATTAGCTTTATACTATTTATATATTAAATATGTTATGGTTACGTTTTTAAAATGATTAAAAATATTGTAAGAAATTTTTATTTTGCAGGCTATCATATTTCAAGAGCAGTTAGAAAAGAAGAAGCTTGAATTATCTTTGGAGAACGGAGAAGATTTACAGAAATCAAGCTTCGTAACACAGAAAACTTCAATTAGGTTAACTATTTTCTCTTTTTCATAAAAATATATGTTGTAATATACTGAGATAGTATATTACAACATTTACTCACTTAACATATTTTTCAAAATTAAACTAATTTTTTTCTTTAACTTTTTTATTCTCATGAAAAATGTCATTAAGAAATTATATAAAAATATGTAAGCTAACCTATAGATTTGTAAAATATTAGCTCCGTAACTACGAGGGTGGTCCGATAAGTACTTAGCCTACAAAAGAAAAACGAAAATTTTGGAAAAGTAGCGTTTTATTTTTCAACATAGTCTCCATTTAGTTCGATACACTTTGCCCAGCGATGCTCCAACTTCTTTAACCCGTCTGAAAAATACGTTTCTTCGAGGTCTGAAAAATAGGCTTCCGTGGCAGCGATTACCTCCTCATTCGACTCAAATTTCTGCCCGGCGAGTGACTTTTTCAAGTTTGGAAACAAAAAGGAGTCGCACGGGGCTAAATCTAGAGAAATCGCTGGATAGGGCAGTAGTTCGTAGCCTAATTCGACCAATTTGGCCATGGCGACGGCGGAGGTGTGAGCCGGTGCGTTGTCATGGTGGAAGAGCACTTTTTTCTTCGCCAAATGGGGCCGTTTATTCTGCAATTCAACGTCGAATCGGCCCAATAATTCGGCATAGTACAGCCCTGTGACCGTTTTACCCCTCTCCAGGTAGTCGATGTAGATCACACGTTGTGAATCCCAGAAAACGGTTGCCATCACCTTTTCGGCCGATGGGGCAGTATTTGCCTTCTTCGGAGCACTTTCGCCGGGTAAAGTCCACTGTTTCGACTGTTCCTTGGTCTCTGGTGTATACCAGTGTATCCATGTTTCGTCGACTGTCACGAAACGACGCAGAAACTCCTTCGGATTGCGCTTAAACAGCGTCAGACATTGCTCTGACGTTGTCTCACGGTTGCGCTTGTTGTCCGGAGTGAGCAAACGCGGCACCCATCGCACCGACAGCTCTCTCATGCCCAAAATTTCATGCAGGACATGCCCACGCGGTCTTTCGAGATGCCTACGATCTTAGCTATCTCGCGCACCTTCAACCGTCGATTTGCCAATACGAGATCGTGAATTTTTGTCACGTTATCCTCCGTGGTAGTCGTTTTCGGAGCACTTGGACGTGGCTCTTCAAAAATCGACGTGCGACCACGTTGAAACTCGTTAAACCAATTTTTGACGGTCGCCATCGAAGGAGAAGAGTCACCGTACACAACATCCAAGCGCTTTTTGATTTCGCTGCGCGATTTTCCTTCCAAAAAAAAGAATCGAATCACCGACCGATACTGCTCTTTTCCATTTTTCAAAAATCAACGGACACACTTGCTTTTACACGCTCTCAAAAATAAACTACAACTCCGATTCGGCTGAAATCTTGACAGTAACCATCGAGAAGGTTGTATTACGTGATAGAATATTTCTTTTGCGAGAGTGGCGCCATCGGGCGGTGAGGCTAAGAATTATCGGACTACCCTCGTATATAGAAATTCCTACATACATGTCTGCCTAAAATCGTATGAAATCGAGGGGGTTCTTATTCTAGAGGTTTTAGAACAGAATTTTTCATACTTTTTACATTAGCCTGTTAGAATCTTTACAGTTTTTGAAGCAGGTTACATATATATTATACCTACGGAATGATAAATTCCATTTACTTATTTGATAAATTTTGTTAAGCAAGGCTTAAAGGGAGCAAGCTGATGATGGTCTTTAATTTATCCTTGAACTTGTTTTTTAAAGTCATATAAAGGTTAATTTTATTTTAACCCCAAGTATGGATAGAACGGAGCAATCTACGTTAAAATAAAAAGATATTATATATAGGATCTAATCAACCTTACCAAGGTCATATAAAGGTCAGTTTAATTTTTTTCAAAATCATTCTACCTGATTGTCACTGGCAGGGTACAATTTAGCGGAAAATGTTTTAATCAAAAATTGTTTCACTCTTCACTCGCAATGGGAAATATTTACATAATCTTACTCTTGTTAGTAAAGGATATTCGAAAATCAAAGTTGTTATTTTTAGGGAATAGGGACTCGTATTAATGTATCTAAATTCGGAATTTATAGAAGATTTTACGCTTAAATGAAATAATATATTTAAAGTCTGGTTGACTTATCTAGTTTGCGAATAATTGCTTTTCAATTGAAAAAAATAGATTTTTATTAATTAATTAAAAATGCAAATTAGGTCTTCATTAATTAATTTATTGTTTAAATATAAATATATCTTTCAAATAAATTATAGTTAATTACACAATCATTTATAACGTAAATATATAATTAAATACAATGAAGAAAAATATTCATATAGAAGTGAATAATTAATATTTTCGTTTTAATAAAATAATAATTATTGAAAGTTTTATAATAAGAGCATACGATTAGACGATTACGAGAGAGCGGAGTATAGATAGGTTTGGATAAATGCGCGACATGCAGGTAATATGTGCAGTGTCGCATACCGCCGAAAAATAGGTTAAGTGAAGATTGAGGATACTTTGGTCGACGGTTATAAACGGGCCAGGGGACTACTCTTATTAGTGCTGCTATTCTACGAGCTTCTTGGTACGAAACCCTGTATGTTTTATTGTTTTCTAGCATCAACTCAGATCGAGACTCCGTATAAAAGCACGGAGCTTACTACTGATGATAGGAGGGCCCTTCGTGACTATTTGGGTTCCCCGATGTTTAGTATGCTACCAACTACCGCCCGAATCACTGTTGTTACTTTACAACTTACATTGCAAATATGTTCTTTGAACGATAAGCGCACGTCCAATATGACTTCTCGTTTTTCAGTTGCTCCTGCAATCTTATCCACTTTTTCTCCACCATAAAAGTAACGTACCTTTTTTTTCTTTATGTGTGAGATGAGCACCGCCTCTGTTTTATCTGTAGCTAGAGCTAATCTGTAGTTTCTTAGCTATCTGGTAACTACCCCGGTCGATTCATTTCCAAGATATTCTGTCTCCTCAATGGTTTTTGCGGTTAACACCAGAGTAACATCGTAGACAAAGGCTATCATTTTAACTGGTATGGGAACTTGCTTTCTCAATAGATTATCGTATACGATACAACCATATACCTAAACGACGTTCCAGAATAATGGTTAGAGTTCCAACCTTTGCGGCATTTCTCCTGTGATATTATGGAAGTGTCTGTCATCGTCGGTGTGTAGTGCAGAATTCGGTCACTCAGGTAATTTGAAATTACTCATCGCAGATAAATCGGCGCCTTTAGATTTTCCAGGGTTTGCATAATATCAATCCATTTGACCGAATTGAAAGCATTTCGTATACCCAAAGCGAAGATCGTGCATATGTACCTCGATTTCTCCCTTTTCTGATGGTGTAGTAGCCAATAGAGCGGCTTTTCCTAAAACCATACTGGTTCTCCAATAAATCACCAGACTATTCAATTGCTGCTTGGAGCCTTCCATATATCACTCGCTCGAGTAACTTTCCCATGATGTCCAACATACTAAGCGGTCGGTAGAATAATGGCTCATCCGAAAGCTTGTTTGCCTTACAAAGAAACACCAGTCTGTGCACTTTCCATTGGTTCGGAAAGTGTCCTTCTCCGAGGTATGCGTTAAATGTATTTTTAAAAATGTAGACGACATTCATTGCAGCAGTTTTTATGGCAATGCCTGGTATTCCATCTAGGCCCGGTGCTTTGCAGATGGAAATTTTCTTAGCAGTCCTTTTTTACTCCTACTGGTGACCTAATTGCATGGGCTATCTTCCTCAACCCTGTGCCCTCCGCTCGTTTTCAGTGTTCCGGGAATAGATGATCGACTACTTTGTGAAGGAAGTCTGGGCATAATGGAGAGGTAGTGCCTCTGAGCTTCATCTTTTGCATAACCGACTTATATGGTCTGTCCGAGAGGTCGCGATCCATTTCTTCGCAAAAGTCACGCCAGAATTGCCTTTTTGTAGCCTTGATGACGGCCTTGAGCTTACTACGCTTCTATTTATAATCCGCAGTTAGGGCCTGGAACCATGGCTTATTCATTACTCTCTAGAGTTTTCTTCTAGCCATCAAAGACGCTTCTTAGTTTTGTAATGGTATCATTCCGCCAATATACCGGTATGCGACCACGTTTATTGATCTTTGTAACCAAAGAGGCGTTGCAAGCTGTTGTAATAGCCGTGATGAGACATTGAGCTCTTTCCTCCTCCGTTCCTTCCAACTTCACTTCCTTAAGAGAGGAAAGAAAAACGTCTTTATCGAATATTGTCGCTGCCTATTTTATCTTTCGATGCAATGCTGGGGTTGTTGTTGACCTGTTAGCCAACTGCAGCTGGTATATCAATATATGGTAGAAACTGCTAGTGTAGTAATTATTAACCTTCCATTTTAATTTTCTCCCATAAATCTGTATTCGACAAATATAAGATCAATTAATGACGATCTCCTAGTCTTACAAGGAAACCCCCCCAACCCGACCTCACCGATTTCAATAATCTTTTGATATGTTATAGTTCATCAAAAAATAAGACATACGTATTTTTTTTATCGGCGGAAAAACACTTTGAGGGGATGAAAACAACCCTCAAAGTTCACCCCCAAAAATAGATTTTCCAATGTATCTCAGCATCTAATTGATATTTTACGACCAAACAAATTTCATATCACTTCTCATGTGAAAAGCAAACTAGCACATGAAATTCCGACCACAAGGGATGCAACCCTTATTTTTTTTATTTAAAATACTATCTATTTCATGGCTATTTTTATGAAAAAAATTAAAATAACCCGAAAAAAATTGGAAAAAATATTACCCTACATAAAATACAAAAATAAAGTTAATCTATTCAAGCTTTTTTTCAAACTACTCCCTTAATGTTGAAAAACCACCCCTAAAAAATTGTTTTCAATACATTACAGGTGGTGTTGATAATTTAGTGTAAAATACGTTAAGCATCATTTATACTGTACAAACACAACTATCTCGTGCAGTTTCGACCACAAGGG